AGGGAGGGGGAAGAAACTTCATAAGTTTAGGTATAGGGGGTCGTACCGAACCCCCAAAAAGGGGGGGGTCGTACGGGCTTCACCAAAATCCCCATCGAATGCTGTGCCCTGTTAGAGAAGCCTTGCCATCTATTTGCTGATGCAATTCACGATGAATGAGCGGCGGATTTCCCTCGTATAACGGCCCCATTTAATAGTTCCGCGCCTGTGTTCCCGCCAATACCCCACTCGTCTCCACGTTTTTGAATGGGATGACCCAATAAGTGAAACTATCCAGTGACAGCTATATAGCACCTAGGGCTGTTCACGAAACCCCGAAAGATGTGAGACATCTGGGAGCCTGGGATTGCAATTCCAAAGTTCCATGAACATCCCCTGAAGGGTTCCTTAAATTCCAACAAAAACTAGAAATAAATACTACTCAAAAACAGCCAATGTCTCCCACCAATCAGGGACTTATAAGTATTTATTTCTCTCTTCAATATATTTAGATCGAACCTTTGACATGATTTACCGAGATGACTTAAAATTACAGAAAACCGCTTCAACTATGCCACAATTACAGAAAACCGCTTCAACTATGCCACAATACTATGTTGTTCACCGTAATACAATTGGATACATAATTTTAAAAAGGATATCACAGAAGGACTACAAATCTCGTAAGTAAAGAAGGAAAGTGTGCTAAAGATATGAAGACTTAGACGTTAATATACAACTCAAAATGTTCCAACTGCGTCATGAGTTAGAACTGAAAATTAAGCCTAGATCAATCACTTGACGTGAGTTACATCTGTATATCACAAATTGAATGATTTCTATAAAACTGCTAATCAAGGCTCAATCGACAATCTCTACTTCGACTCGATGCCAGGCGTTGTGCAGGAGTCCCCTGACATTCCAAATGCCCGCTGCTGTTTCGGGTTGTGTATTGTGGGCTCTGAAGCATAATTATAACCGATAATAATATTTCGTTGACAAATTACAAATTCCAGAAAGTCTTAAAATAAAACCATGGCAACTACTAGTAAACAGAAGAGCTACCGATCTGTGGCCTTCACAATTAGTTCCATCTTCTTAACTCCCTGTGGAATTTTGATGCTCGCGCGGAATAATGTCCACGCCCACATGTGCTCCTGAAAGTGCAAAGGATACAAATGGCATACAAAGATGTATTGAGGATTTTCCTCGTTTTCAAACTAACGAGATCTTGTTCAGGATCTTGCTCCAGTTCCGCACTCTGCCACGTTTTACCACCATCTGCACTCACTTCGACTCGAACAATGCCTCGGCCGCCACCACTCCAGGCATATCCAGCAACGTCCACTGTCTCTGCATCTAGGATGGAGCTCATGAGGTTATTTTCTTCATTTGCTCAAACCAATATGTTCGGGATTAGTTACTTCTCTTGATTTTGGTGCCTGGTGCCGGTACGCAAAAAGCGCTCTGAACAGGATAGTCATGAATCGATGGTACAGATTTCCAATCCAGCTCGTCATTGAGGCCCACATTCGGAGGAAACATCCTGTAATAAAAGCATATCTACCTCAAACTATGTGAAGAGAGACATGACGTGCTCTAGATAAGAGCATAGAGAACAGATATTTCTATTAAATGAGATTTTTATAAAAAGGGATTCTCTGAATGCCGCTGTTTGAAAAATCGAAGAGCCCGTGTCATTTGGGGTGTTGCCTTCATATGTTGCAAGCAAAGATAATGTGGTATAGTTGCACATCAACATCCACTCTCCTGTATTTCCATTCCAGTTTACGCTCTCTCGAGAGGGCGCTGAGGTCTAGTTGAGACGTCGCACCCCTCTCTTCAGGTCAATGACGGCGTTCTCGTGTTAAAGAGGAGTCCTGGGCGTACAGTTGCCGTAGGACCCACTAAGGATCGTTATATATTGGGTAATACAGCCTGCTCGCCTGGCGTTGACGCTGAGTCTGTACCAATGGAGTTTAAGCTCTTCTTGTTGAAATCGATGAAAGAAACTCCATCTCATAATCCTGTGATACTTCAGTGGCTACCTTACTGTTCCACCGTACTGAATCCCCTCCGGAACCCCTCGTGTTCGCACGAGTTCCCTTCATTTACAGCTCCTGCAGCTGCTCCTGCAGCTGAAGGTGGCTTGTGTAAAAGGTTACAGGTCACAGACAGCAGACACATTTGACGATACATGCGATTTTTGTAACAAAAGTGCTATTAGTTACTCGCTGGCGTTGGAAGGTACAATAATTTCCTACAGGCTAAGTATGAGATGTATCCAGTTTCCATGACGAATGGTGGAAGGAATGTCAGTTGTTCGGGTGCTCTCCCACCGAGATAGGATGCTTCTTGAGGTCACAACGACAACTACCAGCCTACTTGGGACTACTCTACTAAGAATGTACGCCTTATGGCAGGTATGGCTCAAAGAGGAGACATAGGAAGCGGTGTGACAAATTAAAACTAATTAATTGTTTAGTGATATTCTCATTTGCACGGGGATCATTCTAAGTCTTGCTTTATGGAAGTCTCGACATTTTAGAGCTCTACATTTGGAAAATTCTTCCATAAACAGCATCCATTAAAATGCAGTGGCGCGAAAACTTGGTTGGGGTGCCATGCAAGTATGGGATAATTGCAGGACTCTCCATGAAACGTGAACAACCCGCCTGTAGAGTCTTTTCTTGAAATTGAATCTCTGAAATGATGAGGTCGATGGCGGGGCAGAGATGCCGATCTGTTTCTAATCTATTAAACGTAAAATGAATGCCGAACATACCTGTAATCCTTTTGCTGCCAATGACTCGGACTTTCGACATCACTAAGGCGTATGGCTCTCAGCCACTTCACTTGTCGCGCACCAACCACACCTCAACAAATTTATTTCTGTTGCGTAAAGCGTGCACACAAACAATATGTTGCAAAAAACTTCTTCCAGCAATATGTATGAGACCCATCAGTTGGATCGCCCGGCTGATAGAGCTCTCCTCCTAGCCTTTAAGGCTGCGTTTATACTTTGCGGCAGCGTAGCGTAGCGCTTCCAGCGTACGCCAGCGGCAGTGCCGGGGAGAGGATGCATATCGATCTAGCGTTCCCAGCGTCACCAGCGTTTCACCAGCGTTTTGCTAGCGTTTGCAGCGGCAGGGGAGTAGAGACTATGTGGCCGTAAGAGACGCGGAATCGACGTGTATTGTAGAGACTATAGGACGT